ACACATATAACATATCTATTAATATATTATTACTACATTACATATAAAACAGACATACACACACGACAATTTATCGTACCGCGTTAATCAGCTGGTCGCCCGTTCGTTTGCGCTGTGGACACGCGCGCTTGAACGGCATGTCGCGGGTAGCTGGAAAATATACTCTTGCGCAGCTGATCGCGGCTAGCCACGCCCCCAGTCGAAACTTACCTCGTACTGAACGCACGTCGCTTTCGCTAAATATATACTGTTTTATTGTTTTCGAAGCTTTTGCATCTCTTGTGATAACGCGCTTTCCTTGTGTCTATCGTTACAGTACTGTCGTGTAGTGTCTTCTGTGTACTGTTTATAAACTGAATCTCTTCAGTGCTCATAACCTTCCATTCTTCATAATTTTAATAATATAGACCGTGTTGTATTTTCGTGTGGACTAAGTGTAAATTTTAATAAACATTTAATTAGTGTGCAAGGTGTCGTATTTCATTTATTATCCGAACACCGACGGCGCCTACTCAGGTACTTACTTACCTTTACCACATTACGCTACGCGTCCGGACGACGACGCATACATACTCCAACCACACCTATACGGGAGACAACAATTCTCGTCTATAGTCTGTTTAGTGTTTCTTCAGGTTTAAATGTGTAATAACGGTGGTTTATTAACTGTTTAATATCTGTGAAAGTGCACAAATGTGGGAAAATGAAACAAAGTCGCTGGACGTAACTTCTCGGGATCCTCCAAAAAGTCCACTGAAAAAATATCAGTAAATGACCACCATTTTACTGAGATTATATTTTATATTTCATCCCATATCATCTCATTTCATTTCACTCCATATTATCATTTTTCATAAAAATAAGAATATAAATTAAAATAAGACATGACCTAAAGGTCTTAGTTACCAGGTCATAAAATTCCTCAAAAAAAAAAGAAATGGAAAGATAACACCTAGATTTTTAAACACATAAAATTTTTATTAATTAAAATCAATTACACACCTAAATGGTTATTTGTAATTATTACTATATATCACATAATAACCATGGCTACGATTACTCGTGGGATGTGTGTTTTTAGTTATCTTAATATGCTCCCTCGTCGTATCGTTAATTATTCATTTCAACCACAACATGCTGAAAATAAAAACATAGGTAAAATCGTACATGTTGCGATTGTTGGAGCCCCAAATTCAGGAAAAAGTACTTTAATAAACAAAATAATTGACCGAAAGGTGAGAATTTGAATTAACAGGTTATTATTAAATTAACGATTTAATTATTTTTTAGATAATATGTTCTTTCTTTTATGGACTTTTCTTTACAGTTCAGGCCATTTTATAATATACTGTGTTGAAACACCAAAATCCTTACAACAATTGCATTATTTATTAAATTATATTTTGTGAGGATTAACTGTTAATTGCATAATAACATTTATTTAAAATGTTATAAATATTTTTTTAATTATTTATAATTTAAATGATAACAATGCTATTTTTGTATCGGGTACCGTTGTAATTTTTTGGTATATTGATATTTGTGGGAACTGATTTATGTTTATTGATACATATTAATTTATTAACTATGTGTAAAGTACTAAAATTACTGTTACGTTATTGTTAGATATGTTTTTTTTTCATACACATATTGAAAAGAAAAAACAACTCCTTCGCAATATTGTTTTTTTTTTCTATAGATATGTGCTGCTTCAAATAAAGTTCATACAACTACCAAATTAGTAAGAGCAATGTGTTACTGCAATGACACACAGATTGTATTTCTGGATACACCGGGTGTTGTAACTGATAGAGAACAAAAGAAGTAAGTAGCTGATTGGGCACACCTCCTGGTGGAAGAGTCTTGTGAGCCCACATGGGGTGGTACCAGCATGCTTATTTTCATCATAAGGCAGTAACGCATTTTGACTTCAAGGATCGGGCAGTCATTGTACTATAAAACTGAGACTTGTGTCTCAAAGTGATGTCTATTGGTAACCACCAAAAGTACCATACAATATTCTTGATGAACTGGTTGGCACATTGTGTTGCTATTTGATCTAGCTTATAATTTAAATTGCAACATGTCTCAAATTAACCCATGTTCAGAATGATAATTGTGTATGAATATAGGAAATTAATGGTTTAATAATTAAGGTAGTTAATATTGTTTTTTGAAGTGGTATTAGTAGATGGAACAGCCCAGGTTTGTTTCTTTAAAAGAAAGTACACATACTTATTCTTTTTCCTTAGAATTAACTTAAATTGTATTTTGATTACCCTCAGGCAGCCACATCTTGGAATTGAAACTCTTAAAATTTTTATAGCATTTGATTAATGTGGTTTATTTTAGAGTGGGCCATAAACAAAAAAAATCTTTTCAATGAGCATTTATTTTCACAATTTCAAGCACTGAATTGTTTAGCATGAAAAAAAAGAATAATTTTAGTTAAATTCAATAAACTTACTTAATATCACTAACATCACTCTTTATGTTCACAGATACAACCTCCCACCTTCAATGTTAGGATCATGTCACAAAAGTCTCAGATGTGCAGATGTAGTTGGTGTTGTTCATGATGCATCATGTAAATATATCAGAGAATCTTTACACAAGGATGTTGTTGAAATGCTGAACTCTGTACAAGATATGCCAAGTTTTCTTATCATAAATAAGGTATAGTAGCGATCTCAACTATGGGAATTTAATCATAATCACAAAATTACAAGATTTACATTAATTTTTCTTTTTGTACTATTTTCTCTAGTTTTATTATTGAAATTAGATAAATTATAGTAAACTGACTAACACTAAAGGAGAGATGGGATTAAAAGTTATGATTTTTTTAATGCTATTTTTACTAACTTCAAGACGTCCAATTAATTTCAAAATTTACACACGCATCAAGGACAGATGACAGTAACTTTAAATTTCGCTCTAATATCTGGGACTAGGAGGGAATACCAGTGGGAACAGAATAAAAGAAAACAAAATTAATTGTTACTTTGGTTTGCTATAGCGTTTTTTAGTTTTTAAGCTACACACATTTATTTTAAACTTATTGGCTAATTTTTTAATCCCTTAGGTTGATAAGTTAAGGTCAAAGAAGCAGTTATTGACTTTAGTGAGGAATCTCACTAATGGATTTATTGCTGGGAACCCTATTCCTGGTCCCACAAATCCTAATAAACAGGAGAGAGGCTTCAGTCATTTTTCTGATGTGTTTATGGTATCTGCTTTGAATGGTGATGGAGTTTCAGATATAAGGGTGAGTAAGAGTAGTTTTATAGACACTATACATTCATATTAGGGTAATTCATTACCAATATTCCTCGGTTGTATAATATATGTACATATGCATATATGATTAAGAAGTCGATTTCTAGCGTCGTTCTGTTACTACTACATTTAGTGTTAAAACAATCTGATATGTTATTACGAAATTTAATAGACGAAAATAAACCGTATTAATAGAATTAAGTAAAACCACTTTTACGATTTAATCTGGTTTCCGTGATCACGGACGACTGATGGTCGGTCGTAAATTTAGTTTATGTACAATATAAGTATAAATGCATATGATATTTTGTTAAAGGAGTACCTTGTCAACAACGCCAAGCCCGGAAAGTTTCATTATTCAACTGAAGAATGGACTGACCAAACGCCGAAATCAGTCATAGAAGACGCTGTGAGAGCGAAATTCTTAGATTTTTTGCATCAAGAAATACCATACAATTTGAAAGTGAAATTAGATTATTACGAAGAGATCGATAACGAAGATAAAATCATATGTTCAGTATCTGTAGAGTGTCCATCAGAAAGGCTGATGCGACTAATAAGCGGCGCCGGCGGCGGCCGCCTCCAACAGATAAAGTCTTCTGTTCGGAATGATTTGATAGACGTCTTCAGGAAAACGGTGATCTTAGACTTGCAATTGCACGTGAAAAATAATTTTTTGTTAGCTAGTTAGTTCGCAGTGCTCCGATTTTGTTATGGCTTTTAAGAATAGTTGAGAACTTAAATAAACTTTTATGTTAACCTGTGTATTTTTTGTTATGTTTTATGGACTGGTAATAGATATATCCGTAACAAATATAAATTTAAAATCTGTTCACGAATAAAGACGTTATAAGCGATTTACTTCAAACTGGACAGAATCAATTAATTTCTAGAGTGACGTTCGGCTTTCAAGAGTTCAAGATTACCAGACAAATTATAAGACTAGTTTCGAAAAAACAGTATCTTCTCTTCATTATCTTTAAAACTTTATACTTATTTTAGAACTTTATTCTTATAGCATACATCAATTTTGATTAAAAATATTCTTAAATTCGTTTTAATTCCTCGTTACGTAATTTTTTTTTAAGTCAATAAACACGTCTACTGTATCTTTTTCTTGTTTTTATAACGCTCCGCAATATTTAAATGGTGGTTAAACCGACGACCTAATCGACGGTGATGTTGAATTTTGAATGTTTCAATGAAAAATAAAACCAGACTGAAAATGTTCTTGTTCGACCAGGAAAACGTAACATTCGATAAGTACCATTTTGTAAGGAAATTGGTCTTCAAAAGGAAAACAAATGAACTCTTATACGACCACTTTGTTGTGGTTGTTGTCTGTCTCCGAAATTTAAGATGGTTTTTCTCACGGTATAGGTATCAAGCTTACATAAAATATTAATTCACTAATTAGTAGGTAGGTACATCTGTATGGTTTGTCAAACACTTGCTGAATTACGTTTACAGACCGTTCACCATAAGATGTCCCCTGCCTTGAGAGTTGGTAGCATTGCCAACGGTGTTGCAAACAATATATGTACCTTTTACCCCCCATTATCTTGTGTGTAATGTAAAATTATTGTTTTGGCTTCTGTTGCGCTAATAAAGACCCCCTATATTAGTTTTTCTTCAATATCTTCCAAGTACAGATATCGACCTGGCTTATTTTTATTATATGTCTAGATAATATATAGCTAAAAGACTAGGAAGGTTGTAAATTATGACACAATTTAAATTTGAAATTATTTATTTATTGCACTTTTACTGACAGTAATTATGGTCGAAAGAAACGATTCCAGACATAGCACTGTCACTTGCATAAGCGTCGTCTGACGTATCCGAATCTGTGCTGCTGTCGTTTCCTAGTTCAATTATGAATTTATCCGTAATATTATCCATGCAGCCATCACGTTCATAAAATTTGTCTTCTAAATGTTTTACGTGTTCACACTGTTTTTGCCAATCCTGAGGAGTTATCGATGAAAAAGCTTCTTCAGTTAACATCACGATATTACCAGCTTCTTGGCCGACATTATATCATTCCTTAATTCAATAAGTAATTTATTCAAGGTAGGAACAACTTTTCTGACAGTATACATTTCATGGATTTTATTTCTTAATGCGCATAAATCGAAATCATCAAGATCCATCGTTTTACGTTTTTGACGGTGTTTTCCAGGAGACTTGAGTTTTTGAGACGTAGAGGCAGCAACTTCACCTTCTTTAGTTATTCTACTCACGGTTTACTCCGACATGCCTGAAATAGACACATAAAATTTGTATCTTTTTATAAAATTTAATATTTATATAAACTCAAGTACTGACTATATTATCGAAATAAATTAAATTCACTGAGATGTGTACTTTTTTATTTTAATTCTTTATGTCAGTAAATTCTTATTACCCATACTAAAGGCATTGTGTCTGAAGCTTGTATCCCCATTTTACTAACCTGTCATTGCGGCGACTCGTGCTCGCACTTGATCGAGTCTAATTAACGGGGCTTGGTTTGCCTTTTCTCTCTCACAAAAGGCACGAACCTTCAACACAATCTCTCTTGCACTGCTTTTAAATGGCTTTGGCATGATTTATTCGAAGGATATTAAATATTAACACAAAAACTAAATGCACACGTCACAACAGACAATCTGACAACAACAGATTGACAAAAATGACAAGTAATAGTGCCAACATCACGGCAGGGGACAACTTACGGTGAACGATCTGTACATCTTACAAGCGTTTAAAAAGTTATTGTTAACAGTGTTGTTAACGCTGTCATATAGTAACAGTATACGTCATCAAAGTACCTATTCAAATCTCAGCAGAATAAAGATCGAGTATTATTACTCGCTAACAATTAAGTACCATGAACATGATTAGATGATCGAAACTAAATTTGGTTGGGTGGTTTATACTTAACAATAGAATTGTACGTACAAACACTAGAGACGGTACAACTTAACCACAGAACTTTGTTAAGACTTGTTTACGAACAGTTACAGTTTCCACTTTAAGTGATGTTGGTCCCAAACTTAACGTGTGTATATGCTTAAAATATACACGATTCAAACGACTTTAGTTTTGAACGGGGCTAGTGTAATTATAAGATGGATAAGATAATATGTACACATGAAGATGATTCTACATGGTGAATTAGTATGTTTTGTCAAAACGGCAACAGTTATCGTTACATTTGGCCGGCAGAACGTATTTGACTCTTGTATATCACAATGTTGAATTTGAGCTGTTGAAGAATAAGACAGGTTTTCTTAGGTCTTTTTAGGTTAGATTTTTTTAGGCATGAAGCCGTTGGGCCTAATGGATAAGACGTCTGGTGCATTCGTGCTGACCGATGTTCCGGTGTTCGAATCTCAGGCGGGTATCACTTTTTATAATGAAATACGTATTCAACAAATGTTCACGATTGACTTTCACGGTGAAGGAATAACATCGTGTAATAAAAATCAAACCCGCAAAATTATAATTTGCGTAATTACTGGTGGTAGGACCTCTTGTGAGTCCGCGCGGGTAGGTACCACCGCCCTGCCTATTTCTGCCGTGAAGCAGTAATGCGTTTCGGTTTGAAAGGTGGGGCAGCCGTTGTAACTATACTGAGATCTTAGAACTTGTATCTCAAGATGGGTGCCGCATTTACGTTGTAGATGTCCGTGGGCTCCAGTAACCACTTAAGACCAGGTGGGCTGTGAGCTCGTCCACCCTTGTAAGAAAAAAAAGGCATAAGTATATTACATATTTATTGTTGCTTCGATTTATAAAAGACTAGCTGTACCCGTCCGCTTCGCTAGGCATTCAAAATTAACATTATTATTTCTCACCCCCATAAAGATTCTCATCATTAACGCCCCCGCAACTGGTGTAGGGAGTCCAACACTCATATAAATATTAGCCTATCCATTAGGTACATGTATTTTCTACATGGATACCAAGTTTAAAGTCAATCGGATGCATGGTTCAGTAGTTATAACGGAACATCCGTAAAAATCACTGTAGATTTATATATTAGTATAGATTTACTGGAATGCCAAATTGTTACCTACTGGGACTGAACTCGATAACAATAACATTTTACTACAAAATTTTTGACTTAATCACTAAAAAGAATGCTCCTACATTGAATTAAGAGTGCAATTTGTTGTCCTTACAGAAATGGAATAAAACAAAGTAAAACCCATGCTACTTTTCTAGAAAGCACACAATATTATAGATTCAGTGGAATGCTTCTAATAGCTTTTTCTAGGTTATCGATTCCCAAGCGAACAGGTTTCCCAATAATCTGTAGGTAAGAATGCAAATGAGTTCCTGGCTCTTGTGCAATGTTACGGAAAATTAGAAAATTTCGGTTTATTTACCTCTCACGCCGTTAAAAAGCTTTGTTTTGAATTTACGAAATTGTCATATCTGTGTTTATATTTTCGGTGCATTTTCATTTATGGCCTTGTATCCTACGAAGTAATTGTTCGATTAAGGAAAAGTGAACGTTTCATCTTCAATGTAAGCGCACTTAGCCTCTGTCTGTACGCTTCATTTAGTTTTGGTGGCTAGGATTAAAATTCGGCTACGTGTGCATGGTCACGTTTGCCTACTTAAATGTTCCGCTTAGCTAAAACACTATAACTTTCTAGTGATCTTAAGTAACATCAAGTAGCAGATTATTGTATAATCCATATCATGTGGTACTAGAAAAATATATGATTGACATTTTGCGGTTATATACGAGATGTTTAAAACGAGAAATCATTTTTTTACATGGTCAACTGCAATCTCAAATGCAATATGTTGCACCTATAATACGTTGAATATTTATGAATGTGAACTTATTATTATGGTAGGTATTATGGTAAATAGGCAGGATGGTGGCAAGTACTCTTTTTTTTTTTTTTTTGAAAGTTTGAAAGTTTACTGGTGGCCCGAAGGCCTTTCCAGTTTCACCAGGTCAGGTGGGCGAGCAAAGGCTCAGCCAAGAGGGGTGGGATTTGCTAACAACTGCCCGAGCGCCTCCGAAGGAGACCTAACAACTCAAGAGCAATTGTTTCGCGAATGAATCTACTACCGGATCGGAATCGCGACCCGCTGAGAAGATCCGGC